CGTACAGCCACCGCGCCCTGCCACTGCGCCGTGTCGCTGTGGGAGAAAGCATGGGGGGCGGGGGGACCCGGCAGGAGAAGGGGAGCGCTGAGCAGACGCTGCCAGAGAAACCCAACCCAGAGCCCAAGCAACACTTGCACTGCTTTGCAGTGAAGCAGTTTTATACGCATCTTTGCAAACCTCTGCAATTAGGCACATTGGCTAGAAAAATAAGCATATACTGCTGCTAAACATGCTGAACAACTAACCAAGTATTATTACCAAACTATACACTACACATCTCTGAGCTTTGACCCTGTAGATTTCCAGAGCTGTAACAATCTTCCAGGCCTCCTAGAATATACTCCACTACAACGGCACTCACTCATGCTATCATCAGTGTGTATTTCTTTTCAGCAGGTTACACCACACCTTGAGGCCCAGATGAGCCATTGGCCGGGCTGCATCACCACACCGTGGATGTCTATATTTATGTTAATAGAGCAGCTCTGTAGGGAAGGTGGGTTTTGTCTTAAACAGACCAGAACTTAAAGGGAATGAAAACAACTGATGGTTGGTTTTCACAGATATTTCTTAACCAGAGGAGAATCTGGAGTCCCACTTCAGGCTCAGGTGGGAATACAGTATACAGCAGTACAGTAGACAGGATGGACAAATACTCTGCATGTTCCTCCTGTCTGGAGCTGGAAAGTCTCAAGGAGTTTTCAAGCTACAGAAAAGACAGACCCATCTTCATTTTGCCCTCGGCACTGAGCCTTTATGTCCTATCCTTGTCTCCTTCATCTGTCTTTCCCAACCTGGCTCCTTCTTCCTATCCTCCTTCCTTGCCTACTGCCCTTCCCGGTCACTCCAATGTTTGGCATCAGGACTGTCTACTCAGCCAGTACCAATCCTCCTATTCTTGCTTCATCCTCTCCTGGCTGACACTTGGTTCTCTCAGTTTCTACCTCACAGCCCTAGTCCCAAAGCATACACCCTTTCCCTTAGTATCTTTGTGCAGCCATCCCAAATTATTCCTTGCTCTGATGGTCTTCATCCAAATCTGGCATCAATCACCCTTAACCAGAAGCTCCTGACTCCTGTGGTTGGTTTCTGACTTGTCTCTAAATTGTTTTACCCAATTTTACCCAATTTTACCTTCTACCCCTCAAGCATCTCCCAGATTAATTCTCCTCATCTGGTCATACCTTCAGATCCTTCCCTCCCTGCATTCAGCCTCCTTATCCCTAAGTACGCCTTTCCTTCTTACCAAGTCGGCTCTTCTCTCACCCGTGCTAGAAAGAAGCTTTCTTATCCATGGAGTCTGGGTGATCTTTGAAAGCACAGAAGAAACAGGCTCTGGGGTTGTCAGGGCCAGCAGCACCTGGCCCAGGACAGATAGGAGCTGACACTATGGGGAAGATCAGGCTTCTTTCTTGTGGCTATACCTGGGAGCAGGCTCAGACAGTCTGTGGAGTTGGTACCTGCACATTGTAGACTGCTGTAAAGAGCTGCAAGAAGCTCAGGTCTGCTAAATCAGAAGAGAATTGTCTGTTGCTAAAAAAGACCTCTCTATTGATAGGAAGAATTAAATTGCACTGAGGAAGACAGTCAAACACAAAGACAGATTGCCACTGAGGCTATGAAATCCTTATCATTCAAGGACTTGAAGCAAAGTTAAGCAAACAACTCTCAGAAATACTCCAGGTAGACCTGACTCTGTTTTGGCATACAGGGGTGGATTAAGATCACCCATCAAGGTCCTAATTTCCTAAGGTTAATGAAAAAAAGGCTAAATGCAATTTTACAAAGTTCGTAATTTCACAAGTTTCAGAGGTTTTTGGTAAGGATGACAAAAAGCACAAAAGTAATCTCCTAACAAATTTCAGATTTATGCACCAAAACATGACAGTAAACTGTTAAAAGAAAAAAAAAAAAATCACCAAAATGTCTTAAACACACAAAACAATGTGTTCCTCCCTACCCTTGTTCTTGGAAATGATTGAACTGCTTTGGCTGAAATTTGCCAAAACTTGAGCCTGAGTCAGACACCTGGCATGTAAAATTTCAGCTGGTGGTTATGTTTTGGCAAAATTCTAAGCAGCTGAAAACAGGTCCTAATAATGAGAAGCGACAGGCAACCTTAATAATACGCAGACATGTCTAGAATATAAAAATATTTCCCAACCTGGCTCAGTGCAGCACGCATTTCTGACACACCGCCATAACCACTTCTTTATCTTTTCTACTCTTTTTCTTGGCTTAAATATTACAAATATTAGACTTCAGTGTCGCATAAAGAGAATTTAATTGTTATGCAATTTGAAAACAAGAAGTGTTTGGCAAGGCAGTACAGCAAGTTAAGTCCTATTGTGAGTAGCAGTAGATCTTAATTATCCTTGGAAAAATACCAAGCCTATAGGCTGATCAAGGGGAAAAAAAAAACAAACCAAAAAAAACCCCAAAAAACAGAATTTAAGCAAAAGAGATAAGACCTTCAATAAAATTGTTACCATTAAGGATCAGACCACGCCAGGCACTTTGCTGGTCTTTGGGGAAGGTTACACAGGCTGTTTCCTCCTGAAGCTCAGGCTACCTAACAGCATCCTGAGCTTTTAGCCTGTAGCATGGGATGATCCTGCGATTACTTCACCTGATGACAATCACCACTGCAACAGCCACCATGCAAAAATCTCTGCTTTAAAGGTATTGGGTAAGGAAGCTTCTGGATCACTGAGGGCTGTTGCCTGTACGTAAGGATTTTAAGGACAAATAAGAATGAACAAAGTTGGATGTGCAGGACTGAGGCCTATTAAATTATAGCTGTTCCAAAGAAAATACTGGAGAATAGGGCAAAAAATCCCATGAGGTGCCAACTTGATGGCAATGGAAAATGTGTTGTCTTTCTTATGATGTGCCAAGTTGGTGAAACTGGAATGTGTTTTGAATAAAAAGGGGAGGAAAACGGTATCTGTAATAGATGCGATGTTATGAGAAGCCAACTATTTTGATTTTAGAGTCCTGGCACAAAGCTGGGTGAAAAAGTGATTTAATGTCATTATCATGCAAAAGCTAATGAAGATATGCTAGCTATCAGCTATCTTGGGCTATATGTGCCAAAAATAAATGATTCAAGAATATGTAAACTGGTTTGGATGTAAAAAGGGTGCTAAAGAGCTGTCTTATGAAACTGTTCCCCAGTGGGCACAAGGTAACCCAATACATAAACCCTGATCCTGGCATGTTGGTATAATACTCGTACACTGGCTAAGTATGAGACTACCTATCTACCCACTGAACTAACTTGGACTTTTTGCAATAAAGATAATGAACTCATATTGTCTTTGGTTTATGCAAACACATTTTCGACAATAAATTTAGTAACTGTGTCTGTAGCTGTTGAGAGGGAAAAAAAATAATAAATCCAACAAGATAATAACTCAAGGAATTAAAGTAATTAGAACTTCACTGAGCAGCTACAGGATTTGTGTCTGACTCATAGCTTAATTATAGCCCTAGCACATCAGAAGAATCTCTCCCTATGAATCTGAGTTAGGCAGAGTAAGCCATTACAGGGCCCCAACAACCCAGACACAGAAAAACAACTCAGACATTCTACTACTTCCCCAAAAGATCCCTTACATCTCAAATAACCATTAATTTCAACACATGCATAAAAATATAGATAAGAAAGAAGATGAAATGGAATGTGTGTGTACGATGTGTATTTTATAAACCTAACTTTGCAACTCAGGGATGTCCATAAGAGTAGAAATCTGCTAATTCTGCTTAGTGGCCCATTGCAAATGACTTTTTTTGAATCAGGATACAAATGAACCCACAATATTACAAATAAAGAGAACATCTGCATCACGAGGCACTGCTTGTTTATTGATGTGACAAATATAATTTAATTACTATTGACACTTCTCAGAATACAAGCATATTTTATAAATATCTGTTTTTATACCATTAACTCCCTCTACAGCATTCTGATCAAATATATCTGCCGTGCCACTTATACGGCATTTCACAGATTAAGGTTTAAAAGGAAACTAATCCCCACAAAGTCCCTCTGATGAAGATCAGCATTAGCTTCATTCTACAGAGGAGGCACAGAGTACTCAATTTTATCGAAAAGATGGTGGGCATGTGAACACTGACTGTGAAAAGCAATAGCAGGCTGATGATAAATGTGATTTACCAGCTTTCCTCCCTAGCTGGTAGAGCATACACTTACCTGGGTATGGGGCACATGGGGGGGACCGCGGAGCAGCCTTTGGTGGAATCGCTGGAGTACAGGGGGGCCATAAAGCCACAGGGCCGGAGGAAAAGCAGTCATCTGCATCAGCCATAAACTCTAGCTATGCAACTGAAATTTTGCAACAACTTCTCCCCTTTGCTAGCACCATTTGATGCGTATAAATGAGTTGCCAGCTGCCCCTCCTCCCAAAGCTGTCTCATATTTTCAACACCAGAATGCAGAGACTTTCTCTGAGCTAGGTTAAGAGAGAGCAGCAGCTAACATACCACCCTTGCTAGGATTCTCAGCTTTTTTAACAGAGGTGAAATGGTACTAAAAATAAGACAATCTTGCAATGCTTTGCAGCAGCATTGGTAAGAATTCAGAGAGAGAGCTAAAAAGAACTCTTTCACTGGAGTGTAATAGTAAGGAAAGACTACGTGTGAAAGGAAATAAATGTCAGAATTTTGAAGCTGAATGTAACCCTCCTAACAGGTTGCCTGCAAGGTAGCCAGAGAGAGGACATCAGCTTATGGCTCTAGAGATCATTATGATGCAAACCACTGACACATGGCATTTTTTAAGGGAATACCTCTTTCTTAGACTGAAACAGGAGCATGAGAAAGGGATTAGACCTGTGTGTGCAAAACATACAGAAGACCTACCTACAAAATAACATATTTGCCAGAATCTGTTATGTATTCAGTTGGCAGCAGCATGACATAAAGGAGATCATGTCACCAAAAAGCTGTTCAACCTTGAAAAAGAAAGTACTTACGTATCTCCTGACTTGCGGTAATTTTCTGGACATTCCAAAGACAGACAGCGAAAGCCCCCTTGGATATTAAAGCAGGTCTCATTGAAAGAGCAGTTGTGGCTTTCTGCAACACATTCATCAATATCTGCCAAATGGAAAAAGGTGAGTGGATTAAACATGTGCCTTTCCTCTACTTGCAGGTGCCAGATGATAAAAGTATCGTATTAGATACTACTGAACATGGGATGCAATTAAACATCATTACAGGATTGGAAGGGGAGGACAGGAGAACAAAAAATGAAGAAAACTAACCCAAAAAGCGGGCAAGAACAGGAAAAGGAAGAGCAGCAGTGCCACTAAGTGGACAAGACCTAAATACTTGCTCAAATGTTTATAGCATGATATTTCCTTTTAATGGCTAAACTAACTCATACCATTTCACAGTGGGAATCTTCATCTTCAGAATTTGTTAGAATTCTTCAATGATGTTATAAAAAGTATTCTCCACTGCATTCTATAGTTTATAAGAGAAATTTCCTGTGTATTCATTATAAATTAATGGTTTCTTCAGATTTCAAGCTGATGTTTACTGCTTTACCTGTATTATTGTTGTTAATATTGTATTATTTCCCTATTAGGAAAGGCATACTTTTAAACATAAAAACTTGCTAGAACTTTTCAGAGGTCCACAATCCAGTTAAGTATTCCTGCAGTTATTGAACTCACCTTGGCAGCTGCGTGCGTTGGGTGCCAACCTGTAACCAGTGGAAGGACAAGTACATTGAAAGCTTCCAGGAATATTAATACATCGAAAGGAACAGATATGCCCTCCAGTAGGTAAAGCACATTCATCAATATCTGCAAGAAGAAAACACCACTAATTTACTATGTGTTCATGACATTCAACCAAGTACATATGTACGGTGTTCCTGCTGCAAGCTTCAAACACAATTTCATTATTCCAATTGCTGAGCAAAGAAAAAAATCATCAGATACGGGTGGCTCTAGTCAATAAAGGCTGTCAGGAATAAATGGAGGTGTGAAGAAAATTAAAAGCAATATACAGGCCCACGACACAAAGTTAATGGATAAGAGCAAGCACTTTACAGTGACGTGTATTACAGTACTTTACAAAAGGGAGGGAGATGAATAGTTTTATCCCTGTTCTTACAAAAACGAAATTAAGACGGGGTGTTCTGCCCAAGGTCTCACTGTCTAAGTAAGTCCTGGAGACCTAAGTCCAAATTCAGGATCTTGTTCATGAAGTCACACCCACATCCTTCTTGTACTTGAGGAAAACCTACTTAGACATTAGTTCAGAACCAGCCACAAAAAGAGGATATATGACATAGTACCTAGTAATGTTATGCATTACATATGTAACATATAAATGTGTTTGTATCTTCACTTGCTGAAGACTAGAAATTCTGCTAGTTCCTCACAAAAAGAAAAAAAAAAATTCTGGTAATTTACAAAAGTATGCCAAGCTACAATTCAGTGTAAACAGCAAAACTGACACCACACAAGCAGAGATACTTCTAGACTAGGACATGGGTGGAAGACCTTCATTAAATAAAGTTTCATAGTTTCACAGGAAAATACCCAAGAGAATCAAATGTTAAAATGAAACAATTACAGGAACATGGAACTGTTCATGTATGTTACAGTGAGAATAAGAAATGCTCACTCATCCTCTACCTGCAAAATGATAATGCTTACCTTCACATGAAATCCCATCTATGTCACTAAGTTGAAAGCCACGGCGGCAGTAACACTGGTAGGAGCCATACACATTGGCACACTCTTGACTACAGGGGCTGCTTTCACACTCATTTACATCTGAAATGCAAAATTATATACCTGAACCCCAAATTTCTTGCTATATTCATCACTCCTATTACAGGACTAAGGCAAAACTCTGGAAAACAATTTTTTAAATTAAAAAAAGATGGTATGCATGTCACTGGGTAAGCTAGAAATAAGGGGCTTTGAGTGTATTACTCTCAACAGGGTCTGCCAGTATAGATTAATCTGCACTGTGCTATTATTTCCCACTGTCCTTCAAGGTGTGTGACTTGGAGGGAGTCTTTAGGACCACACTTGCATTTTTATATCTGGATATCAGCAAGGATGGTTTTGAAGGTCTTGAATCTGATCTAGCTGAATCAGCCTTCAAAACACAGTAAATGCAGACTCATACACCTCTGTGTGATCCAGCCAAAGGGCAATACATTGGAAGCTGGGCCACAGTGGCCTTGATTAATCATAACTGTGTTGATTTCTCATGCCATTCCAGTGCAGTCTTACAAGCTAAAATCAAACAGAAATACCTAAACAGCAATGAGCTGTATCTCACACTATACGCCAAAGCATATGACAGCCGTACCTTCACATGACCTGCCATCAGTTGAAAGTTTGAATCCCATGGTACAAGTGCAGTAATAGGAACCAGGAGTATTCTCACACTTGTGAGCACACAGGCGGCCTGGATAGCGTCTGCATTCATTGATATCTGCAATGATAAATATATACAGAGGTCTACGTATTGGCTGGCTTCACTGCAGTGGTAGTCTGGACAAGAATGTGATCACAAAAATTTTATTTTTATTTTCCACATCTAAATTTCATACTAGAGAGGGAAGGACTTGCTCAAAATGCTCATTTAGAAGCACCTTAGTGAATAATTGAATTAGATCTGTAAAGAAGAAAGTTGCTTTGATCTTCCAAAGGAATGTTTTGCTGTAGGTACATACAAAAGTATCATAGAAAACAATTACACGCACTCTCATAATCTTACCTTTTAACAGGATAACAGATAACATGTTGACAATACTAATTCAGCTTCCTTTGAAGTATCAGCATCTCTTTAATATGGTATTAGATTTATACAAATAATATAGTAGTCAATTTTACATTCAGATGAAAGAGGTTACGCAGAGAGCAATAACATTCTTTACACAGGATCATTTTTTAAAATGCCATGGCTGCACATATTTAAGTTGATAGGTGCAACTTACCAATACAAGTTCTACTGATGACATCAAAAGAATAGCCAGATTTGCACTCACAACGGTAATTGCCTGGGGCGTTTATACAAACATGTCCTTCTCCACAAGGCTGATTAGAGGATGAGCACTCATCCACATCTGAAAAAATGAGAGAAGTGATGAAAGTACACTTCTGAGCATGCAAGTTGAGAGAGGAGCAACATGTTAACATATTTCTGTGTCCCCTCAGAGTTATGAAGTGTTTTGAAACAGAAAGCAAGATTTTGATCTAGCTCTCAGCTTCCACAAGAAAGTCAGAGTCACAAATCCAAACTATTCTTACTGAAACAGGTAATCTCTCAGGTCTCCCGTTAATGTTGATGGACTTAGGAGGGAAAAGAAATCAGGAAATCAGACAATCTTTGGAGGAAATCAGGTGCAAAATTGTTTTATTATGCACACTCAATGTTCATGGATCAGATCTTCAGCTAGCGTAAGATGCCAGAGACCCACAGTCAGTAGTGCTTTGATAAGCCATTTAAAAAAACTGAAAACACATATAAAAACACCTCTTTTTGGAAAAGCCGCCTTAGTTAAAAGCCAGCCAAAGGCATATATGCCTTTCAACATTACTTGAATGTCTTCCGTGGGACATTACGTGGGCATTATGTTATACCTCTGTATTGGGGGGATTTGAAACCATACAGCATTGTTCCAATACACTAATATAGTCACAGACAATGCCATTTTTTGGGGATGATGATCATTTCTCCTTTTCTCAGAATATCGGGTTTCATGAGTTATATGAAGGTCAGAGAGTGGATCCTTGTCATTTTTCACTTGTTGGGACAGCCATGAGGGAAAGAACAGGATCAAGAATTGACTGTGAGAATGAGAAAAACTTGGGCAAACTGCAAGAAACTGGTAAACGTAAATCATAGATGTGATTTATTTTCTTCAAACAGTTTTGTCTTCAAAACTGTTACCTACCTACGCATCTTGTTCCATCTTCATTGAGGTGATAACCTCGGCCACAGCTGGGTGAGATTCGCTGGCAGGTATACGAGCCATCAGTGTTAATACACATCTGCCCAGCTGGGCATGGCATGTTGGTGCTCAGGCATTCGTTGATATCTACAAGAGCACAACAAGTCAGAGTAACTATCTGCTGTCTGAAGATGTTTAAGGCAAGATGCTTTCCTCATGTAAACCTTAAGAGGATTACATCCTGCTGTAATCCTTCAGAATTTGAAAAGCTCTGCCCATGGGAAAACACAACTATTCCTGTCATTTAGCTTCACCGATACAATGCTTCCAGGGTGAAGATCAGGAGAGGTATGAGAGGCCCAGATGTCACTGAAAAGCAGTGGAAATTGGGTATACAAAAACTTGTGTTTGTCTAAAAGCCTTTGAAAGTCTCCCCTAAACATACAAAGAGATGATCAACAATTCAGTGAAGGACCTATTTGGTAATATGTACTCATATAGGTAGTAGCTGCTAGAGATAAACTACTGCTCACAGGTATTCACCATGAGTACCTTACCTTGTCTTATGATAAGCTGTCCATGTAAACACATAAGAATGCGAATAGCTTCTTCATGTATTCACAGGACTATGCAGCCCTCTACCATCCATCAAATGAATGTCTGTTTTGTTACAAACTGGACATCATATCGCTTTGTGACAAAGATATCCTTTGCCTGGTAAGAAGCCACTATAAAGTAAAATCTCAGAAAATGTAATGAGGTGAGACTAAGCCGTATTAGAGTATGATCTGGTGTGGTGTATCTAGCCATGAAGGTAAGGAACTCACTGTTACACAAGGTTAGCATGTGCTATTAGTCTGGGGGAAAGGAGTTTCAGAGTTGGCAATCAGTTGCTACAGGAGGTACCGAGGCAGCCTTTGCTACCTGGAAAAGTTAATACAACTAAGACCTGACAGTTTGCAGGAGCAGCACTGTTTGTGAGTGTATGGGCTTGCATCCCACAACCTTCAGCAAGGTCCAGCTTCACGTGACTAAAATTCTCTGCGTAAAATTTTCCCAACTGTTTCTCCGGGGTATTATCATCATTTTACACAGTGGTACTGTTAACTGTTGAAGAGCTACTGCCTTCCAGTTGGTATAGTATTAAGCACAGTATTTAGCTTGCAAAACGTTGGCTGCCTGAAGATGGAGAAGGGTATGTCATTTCAGCCAGGCCTACGCCAGCTCACTGGAGTGTAAAATTTTCAACTTAATTAACACTGGAAATACAGGAAAGTTTTCATACTCTTCCCCCATCAACACCACGTAGGGCAGCATTTGATTCACATTTTGTAAAATCAGCCTGTGAAATCGTTTTGGTAAATATTTTGAGCAAATGCATTTTAGCGGACATAACTATCGCTGCTGCAAATTGATGTGGCTTTGCTAGTGTCAGTGAAGGCACGCTGACTTCTAACAACCATGGACCTGGTGCTAGCTATGGCAGATATACGTCTTCAAAGGGTTTGTTGTGCACAAGCCCTGGCCCCCTTCATTTTAAAGGCTGCAATTTTGTTTTCAGCCTCAGTGTTTCCAGTGTCAGATTTCGGCACTACAGGGTATGATATGGTCAGGAGAATGAGGGGCTGACAGTGAGCTAGACTTGGCAGCTGCTGCTGCTCAGCCAGTTCCACAAGTCCAAGACACGCTACGCCGCTGGGGGAATTCAAAGTTAAGTTGAGACTTGAAAATACTACTCAAGGGAATAATTGATAGATTTGTAGGTCACATTAGACAATTCCATTTAGAGTCTGCTGGATACCAGTAATTCTAACATATTTATATATATAAACGTTATCATTCTGTTTATAGGAGCCTTGGAAACAAGGCATTAGCCCGACAGGTGGTAATCAGTCTTTAAAATAAAACTCCTCTCCATGGTGTATTATAACTGGCCCATCGTTCTCATACATAGTAAGGTTCTTGATAAGCTGTAACTAAAGGGGGACAGGTCTGGAAATACCTACATACCTGCAGAACCATGCATACTAATATCAACAAAGTATGTTACAAAGGATGTCATAAATTACAGCTTTTTATACTAAGCTTTAGCTAAAACCTTTTGGATAGAGAAAGATAAACCATATCACAAATTTTTTACAAATTTTGTTTCAGATAAAATCCCCAAAGACTTAATGAAAATGCTTAAATGCAGCTAAAAGTGCCTTAGGTAACCAAATCTCACTACAAACAGAGATCTAGTATGTAAGTCTTTTATTTAAATGGTTTTTGTCTGTAAATCTTACCTGTGGGACCAAGCCTGCCTTTAAAGGAGCAGAAAAAACACATAGCAGAGCAATGCATACATGCATGAAGAATGACTTGAGAAGCTCAGAACTCACCCAGTGAAACTACAACTTACCTCATAGGCGAGACGTAAGTATTCACTGAAATAAGAATATATCTTACCAATACAGTTGCCTAGTGCATCTTGTATAAACCCATTCATGCACTGTAGCTTGGGTCGGCAACGGAAAGATCCGGGAGTATTCTGACAGATAAAATCGGGGGGGCAGTTATGAGTACCAGTCTCACATTCGTCAATATCTGGTACATCACAAAAAAAAACATGGTTAGCAGGAGTTTGAGAGAAGCTTCTTCATCACATTTAAAACATAAGACATAGTTAAAAATGTCAGACAGATTAATCCTCAGCATATCTTCATGCAGTTCAATGCAGTGAGCCAGGATCAATCTGACCTACTACCTCAAACAGAATCTCAGTAAAAACAGGTAGAATAAGTTAAGGGGTTTTTATTATTTTGTTTTTAACATTATATATAGGGGGGTGTGTGTTTATTATGCTTTACAAGTTTAGTTCTCACAACCAAATTATTCAAAATTATTACAGAGCACCTCAGCAGTGTGCTTATACATGGGCTCAGCTTTGAAGTCAGTAAGATTTAATTGTATGTCCAAGTGCAATTTTAATTTTAACCTTAGATCCAGTACAGACATTGCTCATTTCTTTTGTAAGTGAATTAATTGGCCTTGATTCTCATCCATATTAAGGCTTGCAATATCCTTGCAATATTGTGCTTAAAAATGCACAGAAATATGATTTCTGCTCACTTTAATATTCCATTCCAGTTCAGAATAGACAAGAAATATTTGTGAATAAATTATGATCCACATAAAGCAGACAAGGGCTAACGACGCCTCATTCATGAATGTAACCTTGTCCACATAAAAGCAGCTAAAATTTAATGTTGCCACCTTGCAATGGGATGAAATCTCCTAAAGCTATTAAAATACAGAAACTTTCTAGCAATAGGATGTCCCAGCTTTCCCATTTATGCAGTTGACACAACAGTAGATGCAGTTGCTTATCCCTAGAGCTTTGTGAGACTTTAATAATTATTGTGGAGCCCTTTTTAAGTTTAGGATGGGTTAATA